AACAACAACAACAACAACAACAACAACAACAACAACAAGCAGGCAATGGAGTATGGGTAGAAGTGACCAGAAATGGAGTATCTGTGGAACACTGTGTTCTTCCCGAAATGGCGGACGAACGCTTTTCCTGCGTCAAAACATGTGTAGGAGCATCTAGCAGCGGCGGCGTGAGTGTGACAATCAACACTCCATCCACAGATGCTCCCGTAACAGTGCCTCCTTCCTCAGAGATTTTCGTTGACATCAGCAGCAATCAAACTGCAGTTTCCCATCACTCCTCCATGGCCATCAATGCTACAGGATAGTGATGAATGGTACAGTAATAGAACCTTCCATCTGGTACCACTGGTACGGATACTTGAGGCAGAACAGATACCTGGTAATTTGTCACACTAGTAGGACTCATTCGAGAAATGATCAGTCTTCGCTTTCTTCCCGGGCCGAGTCGGCGTTGGAGCTGTTGGGTTCGTGACCACAGGCGCTGGTGGGAGTTCCGCGGCACTGGTGATAACAGGCGTGCTTGAACGGTCTCTGGCGCCTGCTTCAGCCATGTCACTTCCCATGGTGCAGAGCAACCCCCCACGAAACTCAAGCACGCTGTTTGGAATCGTAGTACCCAGATCGTCTTTGGGGGTGAGTTCGTGACGCCCCATCATAGTGGACCCTTCGACGGCCTCCAAGTCCTTCTGCCCTTCCTCTACAAAGTGAAAGCCAATCTTGCTCAGTTCTTCTTGGAGGTATGTGTCATCGTTCGACACTCGAACAATCGACTCGCGCACTTGCCACTTCTCGTCATAGATAGTTACGACCGTCTTCCCCTTCCCGCCCTCTACCGGACGGAGGCACCATTCTCCCGCCTGCGGGGTCTTGTAGCAAACGACGCGCGATGGCACCTCAGATGCGTCGTAGTTGTGCGCTTCCCAATTGAAATAGATGGGGATATAGTCACTCAAATCGTAATCACGCACCACCGACAAGTGGGTAAACGCCACATTTCCGTAGGTGGTTTCCCCGTCCGCCTCAAGCTCTCGTAGCATCTTGACGAATGTCTTCTTCTTCAGCTTGAAAAAGTAATTCCACGAGTCATTAAGGGTGAAATCGACAGCTTGGTCACTGAACAGCGGCTCTCCGGTAGAACCAAATACGTCGACATCTTCATCGTCCTCAGCTTGCCCTGCTGCCGTGTTGCCTTGTTGGTCTGCCCTGCCACTTGCATTCTTCCGGAAAATTCCGCCTACTACTCGCTGAACTGTTTTCTTTGTGCGCCTTGCCAAGCTGGGAAAGGCCTCGCGGAACATATCCTGCAACATGTTGTCGCCCAAGTCTCGAAGCGTGAAAGGTCGTCCCATTATCCGAATCCGATGTGTCCCCGTCCCAAGGACTCTTCGCTGAACGTGAACCACTTTGAATACAGAGCCGACTACTGAATGCCTCCTGCCTTCGACTTGCCCCGACTTTTCGCCACCGATCCCCCCGCCACTTCCGTGGAGTGTAACTTTATTTTTCGAAGAGAGGGACATATCACTCAATGTGCCTGTGAGATAGGCGGACTCAAACCCGATGATGACATCTCCGCGGCCGTTCTCAATCCCATCTTTGAGTATACGAGACTTTACGTCCGAGTCTGCCTGAACATACTGGCAAGCAAAATTTTCTAGGAGTCCTGCCAAGCCCAGAGGATCCTCGCTGTCCTCCAAAATACGACGCATGACAGTGCTGATACCGAACTCAACATCATTTTTTACCTCACGAGTGGCATCGCCGTTAACGTCAGCGCTGGTGTGCTTCTTGACATTGTCGTTAGGAACAAAATCCTCCCACGCTTCCTTCGCCTCGAACCCCTGGAGTCTCTTAAAGGCTTCTCGCGCTGGTTCAACCCTGTTCCAAACTTTCTCCTTTTCTCCAGTTTGACACGGAGCTGTCTTGGGCTTGTGGAAAATGAAGGCTCTCATCAATCCGTGATCCTTAATGTTTTCTGCTGGTAAGTAAGGCACAGCTTTGAAATGCTTCGCCATCTCGGCTTTCAATTCCTCCTTGTTCGCCGCCATGATCTCCTCCTCTTCCCCTCCTCTTGTACTGGCTAGTAATGTACTTGTAACGCGAGGAGATGCACAGCTTCACTCGCGCGTTGGCTGTTGTTCGTGTTGACTCCTTCCCACGCCCTTCACTCCAACGGCAGTTTTCCACGCTGCACGATTGCTGCTGGTCGATCGATTCGATTCGAGTCCTGTGAGACCTGGAATCCGCACCAAGATCGGGCTTCCATGACTTCTTTACCTAAGCTACTGGTACCAATACTGGTATGATCGAGTCTTGTCTTTAATGCACGAGGCTGTTGGGAATACTATGTAAGGATCTAGCTAGCCAACTGACTTGCGGATAGTACCGTACTATACATGCTTGCGCCTTTCACTGGCTGCGGTCTTGTGCTCGAAGTCAGCTTTTTCTCTCTTTAAAAAGTTACACAACTTTCTATCGGCAGTACGGTTTTTGATCGATCGAACCAACTTCTATTAAAACTGATTTGTGGATAGAAGTATATTTGAAAATCGGTTCTATTATTATGTCACAGGATAGTATTCTCAGTACAGTATGTATGAGTAAGTAAGTAATCTAAAAAAGGAAGAGGTGGCTGCTTGATTGCTTGATATAGTAATCAAGCCGCCTTGGGGCTGGAGCAACGTTGGCACGATGCCCGTTGACACCCATTGCTGGGTTCTTGTTGCAGAGTGCATTGAATATCCCGCAATCGTTCCATGACAGTCCCAATGGACCATCGATCGGTAACGTTGGCACACCAGGCATTCTCCAAGAGTGTCTGGAGTGCTGCTGCTGCAAACGGTAGCTTGTTCTTCTTCAAGTTGGGTCGAACTTGGTTGGTGCAGACGCATTCGAAAAAGTGGTGGGCGCGAATATCACCATAGGGCTTTTCGTGTGTCATCATTTCGTAGACCGTCATGGCAAACGAATAGACATCGGCCTTGGCATTGTACGTCTTTTCTTGCAAGATTTCCGGAGCCATGTAGCGTGTGGTACCGGCCAGTGACATGTGAAAGGTTTCATTGTCTTGGTCGTCGTTGTCATTGTGGTATCCCATGTAGCTGGGAGGGAGCGCACGGCAAAAGCCAAAGTCAAAGAGTTGCAGTGTCCCGTCGGGCAAGAATCCACAGTTTGAAGCCTTGACGTCCCTGTAGATGAGTCGGTGGGAGTGAAGATAGTGGAGGGCCGAGGCAATCTGGAGGGAATAGCGAATCTTTTGGGCGTACAAGGCACGAGAGCAGGATGCGTCATTGCCCGACGACCTCCAGTACTCGATGCGTTCATCGAGAGTCCCTTGGAGTCGATCCAAGACGAGAAAGTAGTCGTTGTAGTGGCCACTTTGAAGTGCCGTGGTTCCTCCCAGGGCAACGGCACGAAGCTGGACAATGTTGGGATGTTGGACTTGTCCGAGAATGGTGGCTTCCCGTTCGAGATGGAGGGCAGCTTGGAAGAACTGCTTGGGTCGTTGGAGGAGTCTTCGGTTCAAATGCTTGACGACTAACTGACCAGGCTTGGTGTGTTGAAGCTGTCGGCGTGCTGCGGGGTCGCCTTCCTGAGCAGCGAGGACGTGGTATGCCTTTTTGAGTTTGAGCGAGGAAAGGGCAAAGACTTGGGAAAAGGTGCCCACTCCCAGGAGCTCGTCCACGGCGAGTTCTTTGCGATGCAACAGAGCTGCTGTCGCAGAGAGTCCCAATGGAAGACTGCAAGGGGAATCCTCTTCCACGGGATGGCAGCCAACAATACCACAACGAGAACTGTCACTGCTCATGTCCGTGTCGTAGGAAAGAGTGGCGGCGCTTTCGCTCATGCCCGACAAGGATTGGACGGATTCCAGGCCATCGTCTTCATGAACGCTCAGTGATCCCGCAATCTTTCGGACCAAGCTTCGTTCCGAGAGACGAGAAATGGGGTTGGCCTTGCCCTTGCCACTCACGAGGGTGCGCTCGGGCAAAGAATCGAACGTCCTGGATCGGCGGGGGATTCTCATCTTTCTCATGGATAGGTTCTAAAAGAAAATGTTGTTGTTGTGCCAGTTTGTTTGACAACACAATTGTGACACCTTTTCTAAACGCAGCCGAACCGGAGAGGCCAAGCTATCCTACTAGCTACTAGCTAGCAGCTAGCGGTACCACATGGTATCCTTTCCGTCGACCCGCAACCACTGCAGTACCGTCGTACCCGTGTTCGGCATCCGAAACAGGGCTTCTTGATTCTTGATACCACCAGATGCCTGGGATGGTTTTACAACGCGACAACCTCGCTGATGCCCACGATATCAGACTACGCATGCAGTATTCCGGTATTCCGTGAGCTATTCTGTCTTGGCTTTTTCAAGATCTGATGTTTAATATCCAAAAGCAGGGGGATTTATGAGAGGACTTTCCCTTTTCCCTTGCTGGCGAACTGGCTCATACAAAGACATGAGCAAGTTAAATCCGCTGGTCATAAAGTAGTCGCCACAGCATCACCACCCACCCCTTCGGAAAAATGTGGGACTAGATCTTGAATAAAAGAAACGATACTCATAAGTCTTTCAGGCTCTTCTGGCACTTTCCAATAGATCCGCCGGTACAATCTTTGGCAGGGGGATGGAGAAATTCATTGCCCATCATTGCCCACCAAGGTTATTGGCGAGGCAACCATTGTTTACCACTTCATACCATTGTCAACCACTGTCTACCCACTGTCTACCGCTGTCTTTACCGCTATCTTTACAGCTATCTTTACAGCTGTTTACCGCTATCTTTACCACTGTTTTCTTTGCTACCGCTGTCAACCGCTGTCAATGCAACCACTGTTTACCACTGTCTTCCAATGGATCCCCCATGAATGGCACTGGACTTCTCCACCCCCCAGCTCTTTGTTTGGCTGAAGATTACAGCCACAATGTCTTGGATTGTCGATGTGTCAGAAGAGCACTCGGTTTCTATTGTCCGCCTTGAAGTTAAGGACGAAATGTCAGTAACTTTCTACCACTTTCGGCAGTGAATTAGATAGGAGGAGACCAAAGATCTAATGGGTTGCCAAACGCTGATCTGGAGGACAACCTGACGAGCATTCGTGTCAACGCTGGTGTACAATGCCTAATTCAAGCTTCACCGGGATGTCTTTTCGGATCGCCTTGTCGGGTGAGCTGTCGGGTGTCGGGTCATGTTCTCCGGTTGCTTGTCAGTGGTATAAACCAAACACAACGTACTAGCTGCTCGATAGATACGATGTCATGGAATTTGGTGCTTACCAGTCTGTTCTGCTTACCAGTACTACAGTAGCTACTACAGTACACTCTGTTACCATTGCTCAAAACAGCATGAAGCATTGGGGCAATTCGATCAAATTGTGGAGCGACCATAATAGAGCGTCTGACATGGATGCCACTTTACATCAATGGCATCGAATCTTTTGTGGCCAATAGCCGATGTCAAGGTCCGTCATGGCAACCACCTGTCTTTACTGCTACCAATTACCGGTGGTACCAATGTACCAATCGACCAACGACCAGCCGGGTATGAGTGTTCAGATGCATTCCAGTACTACCTCATTCATTCCAGTACATGTAGCATAGAAGTGTGGAGCTGCTTCTACAGCAAGTGCTGTATTTGCTGGTGGTTTCTTCAAAGGGAATACTCAGGGCAAATTGGATCAACAGCCAGCTCTAACTAGTCTAGATCTAAACAAGGCTGCTGGATGCTCCACTCAATTTTACTAGCCTACACGTAGTACAGTTGCTGCTAGCAAGGCAAGTGAATCGAATCTGATCATGGCCAGCCATTAGCTGTGGGAACACCGTCCGAGGGCTTTCTATTTCCTTTCTGTAGCTCGTTCTGTTGAAATTTGGTTGCTGTATTCACTTTCTGTTGAGACTTGGGCAATTGGCTGCTAGCTACAGTAGTGTTCCGGTCAGTCGACGGGGGTTTCCACCGTGTTGGCTGCCCTGTCGACTTCTGACGGTCAAGCCTTGGTATCAGGTCCAGACGCCGTTCAGTATCGTAGCAGTGTTACTGGCTTTTGCTGCATCGACAGCGCTAACCTTAATGGAACATTAGGAATAAGGGTACTATTCTATTCAAACAAGGTGAAATTTCGCCGTTTCATTTTCAGCGAGTCACGCACAAAAACTGCACTTCCGTGATAACCATTCGAGCCGATCAGATTCTGTTAGACTACTTACCAGATCCTTGTAGCCTTCAATTGGAAGCCTTGGGGGGGAAGGTGGAGCACTGCACTCTGGGCTTGCATGCATGCTTGAATGTTTAGGGTAGTAGTAGATGAATGATAATGGCGGATCAGACTGGTGCTACTACGACTTTTGGGTATCAGCCCTTGGGTACTTCTTTTATTGCCAGAGGAGCAAGTGATACCCCTGTAATGGAACGAATGGACGACTGGGCTTTGAAGGTGTTGATTGTGATTGCTCAGTACTTCTTGGTAGTGTGGCGTTGGCTGGCCAAAGTGGTTGGATGGGTAGTTCTCTGGGCCATTCGGATATCCGTGAAATGCAATCCTTTGGAAGGCGTGGATCTAGCAGTAGGGCAATCAGAGGATGATAATGCCAACCAAGAGGAGGAAGACTTTTATGATGCCATTGCCAACGAATTTCCATGTGTCAATGAAGATTCTGATGAGGATGATGAAGTGGAACAACCATTGCGAGAGCAGCCAGATCATCCCAGTGCTGGAGGTGATTCCGTCTCGGAACTTCCCATTGAACAATTGGAGCTACCCGCCTTGCCAGCCCCCCGGGGAGCATCGTCTTCCACGGCGGCTGTGATTGTCGAGGAAGAGCCGAGTACCAGTCAAGACGAAGACGATGAACCTCCACAACAACCAACATCCTTGATTCCCTATCGTCCATTTTCGGCACCGGGGCTACAACTTCAGCCATCCCCTACTACTATCGGTACTACTAGCCACCAGTCGGATGCCTACATTACGGAAAATCTCCTCATCACGTCTAGTAATTGTCTGCAAAACAGGAAAAATTCCACACAGGGACTCCCCAAACACATGCTCAAAAAGCCACCTCCACCTCCATCACAGCAAAAGGATGAACCCCACAGTAATGACAACAACAATCGTAATAAGAAACGAAAACCACAAAACGGTGGCATTCCCACGGAGATTTTTACCCGTGACAATCAAGATCATCGACCCCGGAGTAGAGCACACACCACACACGAGGACAGTGATGACGATCAGGAATCTACTCGGAAAGAACAGCATCGCAGAACCAGCACTCGCAAAGGACTCCTGTCCAGTAGCAGTGACGAGGACGACGAGGACAGCGATATTGGTGTTTCTCGTCGTAGTAGCCGCAACCGAAAAACAAAAACAGAAAGACACCCAAACAATCCAACAAATCCAAACGAGCGCGTCCTTCCAGTGATGACGACGAGAGCAGGGAAGCATCGAAACGACAGAAAAGGCGTTCTCCGAGGAGTGAAGAAACCAGCCACAATCAACTATCGTCGTTCGCTTCCTTGGCCAGTCGACGAAAACGAAGTGCGTCTGTGGCTAGTAGTAGTCGAAGATCCACCCGCAAAAAGAGTCGAGTCAATGAGGACGACAACACATCGCGCCGAAAACAAAAAGCTCAGAGCCTTCGCTCCAGCAAGAACAAAAAGAGCAAAAGGAAGAAGGACGACAGTAGTAGTTCCGAGAGTGATGACGACAGTAGTTCCGAGGATGACAGTGACGACGACGCATCGTCCAGCTCGGGTCCTCTCGATTACAGCCAACTGCCCACACGCCCGAGTGAATTGCCCCCGGCGTACACCAAGAAAATTCATGCCGTCGGATTTGCCCCTTGGAATCGCAAAGTGCTGCCCTGTATGATTGCCAGTCCGTTTGACTTTTTGGAGGATTCCTCCTTTCAAAAAGTATGGATGACCACGGCGCGCAAACATTTAAAAGAACACGGCGCACTGGATGCGGGCGAATTGCCCTACATGGTGTATTGGTTCACGGACAATTCCTATGCCGTCGTTCCACCGAAAAAGTTTGTCGACTATGAGGATGCCGAAGAAAAATGGAAACAAAAACCGACGGCGTTGGTGCAGAAACTCCAACGGGGCAAGCCATTGAATCGGAGGGAAACCATGGTCATGGACGGGCTGGAAGAAGCGGCCGAATCGGCGCAATGTCCCGCCAAACATCGGACGCATCCGCAATTGGAAATGTTGCGGCAATCACAAAAGCAAAAGCGAAAGGCACGTTCGAGGCGACGACGATAGTCCTGGCCGTTGGTGTGTGTGTGCCAGGAAGATGTCGTGTAGTGTGAGCGTTTGGATTGCTTTCTCGAGTCTGGGTTTCGGCATATAGGGCGGGAAAGTGTGGGTGGACTGTTGAGGTGTACATGTCTATCATCGCGTTACATTGCTGTTTTGGATGTGAGTGGGGTCCCTTTTTTGTAAATCAGTTTGGACAATACATATAGTAGTTGTGCGGCTTATTGGTGGTTACTCCGGGCATACGGCATTACTTGTGCTTTCTCTGTAATAACTAGACATTGAAGAGTTCATGAATTTTAGCTTCTGCAAGCCGTATCGTACCCGAATTGCGATGGCGTTGGTATACGTTGTGCTCATTTTGCCGTGTTCCCATCCTTCTCCCAGGGAGCTCTTCCTGAACAAAGCGCCAAGACACTCGAGCCCCGTTCGTTCAGCTTTTAAAAATCAACTGCGACACCACTCATCTCAAATGTCTCCAAATGTCAGCCAATCGTGTTGGTCCACTAAAGAAGAAGCCACACAGACCTCTTCTTGCTTCCCATCTTTACCAAGAGTCGACTCGTCCAAATGAAACGAAGTAGCCAAGGCACTCCCACCCCGTTCGTTCCGTTGTGCAAAACAGATTCGGCATACCACCAGAGACTTCACATGATGTCTGCGGCAGAGCTTTGACTAGCAAGCAAGTAAGTGTGTCTACGAAGGAGACGTCGCCAACCCACCTCCACTCTCGTTGCCCTTCATTCGGTCAATCCTCCCATCCGCTCTCGCAACAACTGAGGAGCAACGCCTAATCAAAGCTCCGTCTCCATAGTGTCCGTCAATCAATGTTCAAAGTGCTGCGGACCAAGTGCTGGTGTCATGTCCGGGTTGCCACCTTCCTGTCAAGAAGACGCCACCCAGCTCCTTCATCGGTACCAGTAGTCTTTATTGGGTCCATTCAGAAGTCCGTCCTCAATGTATCAATGTTCGTGGTAGGGAACTGGTGGGGAGTGTCCCCGCAGGTCAGCCTACAACCACGTTCCTGCCCGCCAATAGAAGACACCGCCCATCAGTACATGTAGCCCTCGTTGGGTCCATTCATTCAACCTCCCATCTCTCCATGGCCTTCCAAGCATCGAGCCGGAGCTCGTCTACCGTGCGGATGTGGATTGGCTTTGTAACCAGGTGCTTATTAGTAGATTGCTTGGCTGATTAGCTGGGAAATTTCACGTTTTTGGTACAGCTAAAGATTTCGCCAAGTGACAAGTACGGAAAGTTTCTCCGAGCTTCACGGCGGAATCCGCTGCCTACTGTAGCCGCGGCATGTGGGACAATAGGAGCTCTCAACGTCCCCGCATCACCCACCAAACCACCAAAATCTGATGGGCAGCAACCATGATGAAGCCCTCTCTTGTCCTGTGGCCTGCGGCTCGTTTGTTGGGGAGGAAGCGGTTGGTTTAGCTTCGGACTTCCTCCGTGGAGTAACATCGGTGGAAAGTCTTGACTTGTGCCCCCTAAGGATTTCTATGCAACTTCTATCAGAATCATCGGATAGCAGAGCGATGAATGTAGCACTCGTCTGTATGATCCTCAGAAGCCCTTTTCACAACTTCAGTATTGGTGCTGCAATCAGCATCCCAATCAAGTCATTGGGAGGGTCTCGGTTTGCATCATCTGAATTGCAGCTCACGGGGAGGGTCTCTGGTTCGCTTGCATGATCCCGTCCACAACGACGGTTTGTGTTTCCGCGCTCGTGGCGACGGACGATTGCCAGCATCTGCGGAACTGCCCGAGACTTTGGGGCCTCAAAAGATGATATCGAAACTCTGAAAATAAATTGTTGCCCACAGAGTTCTCCCCTGTGGGACCCTTCCGCAAGCTCAATTTTGCCATACGACTGTAGTCGGGAGTCTGACCCGTTCAGAATGGAAACGATGATGGCAATCCACCGCGCAACCTTTGCGTATTGGCTGGCAGCAAAGAGCCCCGCCGTTTCCCTGACGAACTTCACAAGTAATTTGCCGCGTGGACCACCAGGCAGTTTGCTGACTGCATTTAGACCCTAAAGTGCATGGATGGTGGAATCGAATCATCAATCAGGCCCGATCATCCGCCATGCATCAAGTCGCCATAAAACGTCCTGACCGGTTCCGCCGTCCCCAATTACCAATCTTCTCGATCAAAACATGGCAAATCCTTCGTCCTTGGCTCGACTCGACTCATACCGACAAATCCCATAATCCTAAGAAATGGATCATTCTCTCAGGAAGGAATCAATCTCGCCAGCGGATTGTCACCACATCTATCTCTCCACTTCTAGGATCGTGCAGGGCCCAATTCACACACACCAACTCAAACACGAGGTGATTCATTCGATGGGGTGCTACGATATTGGGTCATCAGATACCTGTTTCCTTATAGAGTCGAGTCGATTCGACGCATCTCGTCCGGAAGCCGTCCAGGTCCCAACATACCGGTACCACAATTGAGTTTTGCTTTTGATTTGACATGAAAGGAG